ATTTACTAATAGGTAGTGTGACGAAATTCGCTATGTTTCGGCTGGAAAACATGATCATTGAAGATTTCGAACAGAGTTTCTGAAGTAGGCATAGCAGGCAAGAACTCCGTCAGCACTGCAAGTGCACAAATTGCTGGAGAAACCGGCACTCGGATGTTCGCATACATCACGAATTCTGCCAGACTGTCCTTTAATAGTTTATTTGTATTCTCATAAATAATGGGTAAATCATGACACGTTGACGTTAGAAGCATGCGACATGCTTCGCAAGAGTCATCATTGTGTTGCAGTGAAGCACATCTGTTTTCGGCAGGCGCACATTTCAGTTGATCACGCCAGTTTTTTTTTTCTTTTCAATTTCATTTTTCATGCTGGAAGTATCGAGGCTGAGGTGCTTCAACTGCTATTCAGCAGTATCACTACAGTACATTGCCTAGTGGCTCTTAAGGGCTGTCGTTTCTGCGGTTCTGCAGCTAAATTGGGATCGGGAATTAGTTCACTACATCCGAAGTTTTCGAATTAACCAGAATGGTGCTGACGACCGTTTCAAATTGTTCGCTCAACCTTACATTGAAAATACGGGATCGCTGAACTACTTCGAATTAAGCGGGATTTCAAAAATAACCGAGTTCGGATAATGAGGTTTTACTGTAATTTGATCAATGTGCACACTGTTCGGTGAGTGTATCTTATTTCACCAAATGCTGACAATACTTTCTAGCATACTATTTAAATATCATAACCTCACTTTGGACAACACTGTCATCGACAGTGTTGATGGATGTTGATTTCAATTAAACTACGAATCGTAGACCACTCCTGCAGTTCATAGGCAAATGGGTTGTGTATGTGTGTTGTAAAACACCCCAAAAATGTTGTAAGACACATACACACACACACACACACAAAAAAAAAAAAGGGGGGGGGGGGGTGACACTTCTGAGCCTATTCAGCTGGTTCAACAGTGGGACTGATGAAAATTCTTGAGAGGCCATCACAGCTAAACACTGAAGTTGGTGACTGAATCGCGCAGTAATGTGTTGTTTGTCAAATTCACTGTATCTAAATAGTTCCGCCACGGTGCAAGTGGAAGGCTAAAGCGTCAAACCGCGCGCTCATTCTGACGAGATCTGCGGCATACCCGCTATTCTCATAAACGCTTGCATGCCCATTGGTGGCGCTCATGTGCTTGAACATGGTGTATTGTTTTATTGTTTTACCAGTTATTGTGTTGGAGTTGAATGCAAATTTCTTTTTGTCCGCATGTGCATTGGCCAAACTGTTTGATGTATTAATTTAATGAAGCCGACGTAAAGCACAATAAGTTTGCACCATCAACCTAATCTGAGAGAAATTTCAGAGGTGATATACAGAGGCCAGATTTTTAGGCACCAAAAACAGGCAGACAAAACATAGTCTTCGGCATCCAATATGGTAAACATAGACACAATAAATTTTTGCAATAATTCCCATTTTCGAAGAAATGCGTGCGGGACCTGTCTACAACAGGAAAGCAATAATGCTTTAATTTATTATGATGGAAAGGTGCAGTTCAGCATAGCTATGCTTTTTTATTTCCGCAGTGTTTGCAGAACACGATCTCTCCTTTTATTGTCCAGCATGGTTAGTTCAGTGTCAATCATCAATTAAACACGCTTCCTGGGTGTCTTTATTTTCAACATGGCTGAGAAGGGCAGGAGGAGCAAATAGCCAGACCGCTAATAGGTCAGAAGGGTCTTGTAGTACCTTATTAACCAGGTATGATTGCACACGATCAATTTCTCGTCTGTCTGTGAACACATTAAAGGGCCCCTCACCAGGTTGAGCATTATGAGCAGTCAAGAGAAATGCATGCACTGGGCGCTCACGGTGTCATCTATCAAGATTTGGAACACTACGTGCCTGATAAAGAGGTAAAATGGCAGACTCGGCAAGGAGTGGTTCTCCGTACGTCAAAGTAGTATGTGACTCATCGAGAATTATTCGATGCTACGTGTGTAATTTGTGAAATCTGTTGCTTGAATAGAAGTATCAAGGTTGATAGAAATGTTAAAACATACAAATGAAATCTGTGCACGTAAATATTTTATAACTCCGTATTGAGCGAGATGTTAGACGAAACTGCCTCCTTTTCGTTTGTGTTAGTGTTCTCCTCGTTCTCGCATCATGCTAGTGTCTGCTCTGACAATTCTTGGCGTATTTCTGCTGCATCGTCTCTTAGAGCAGTTACAGCAGTGCGACACTGTGTATCGTGGTAAAGGTACATGGCCTATGCCAGCCTTTGCAAACATGTACGCATAGAGGGAATAATTCCACATAAACAGGCAGTACAATACAGAGAACACTGAAACGACACTGCTTGCGTGCACGACCTGGTTTTGGCATGCTTTGCGAACATAACCTTACATGCACATTACGTGTTGATGCGTCTGTGTCATGTTATCTTCCGGCTCCGCGTTGCTCCGATACCGAAATCGGCAGGAAAGGTATTTGACTTGCGAAGCGTACCCACATCAAGTGGCAGTTTCAAGCTCACCTCCTCGCATCCTGCTTTCGCGGTTCGTAATGAACCAGTTAAAAAATTCTTGTGGCACAAAGTTTTTCTTTGGGCATGCAAAAACTTACATTGTCTTACTAAAATTTCTCACATGAACTGTTCCTTACACATGAGAGCAGATGCTACGGAAGTGCTGATCAGGCAATGCGACACAGATGAATACATGTGTAGAGGTTAAAAGGCCTTCCTATTGGCTAAGGGGCCTTCTAGCCTTGACAGTGCTGACAGGAGCTTCGAGATGGAGTATAGGTTGCACCCCATAGAGTTCTGAAAGCCCTATTTTGCCTGATAACATGAATACTGGTCTCCCTGTACTCGAAAACAAAATTCGAAACCAAATATTGCTTATTTAGACACCGAAATGGAAAATTAGGCATTTATAGGCGTTTATAAAAATTTAGGCACAAAACTCGGAAATAGGCATTTATAGGCACTATAAAAACGTTAGGAAAAGCTTTCTTAACCTCTAATTCATGCTCATATATCAAAGTGGCACAATAGAAATGCAAGAAACAATATAGGCATTTGCCTACATTCCAGTCTCTAGTGATATATCGTGTCACAAATAACGCCACTTTATGTCACTTTGTATAAGTCTACCTTGTCGGTCGTTACAAGACATGAAACTCAATATTAATCAACTTGAAACATGCGCCTTGGTTGCTTAAATTTTTGTGGCTCTTTGACACATGCGCTGCACCCCCTCCCCCCTTTTTTTTGCGCATGCTATAAACATTCAGTTGAGTGACGGCCATGGTGTGTGTATTCACCTCTTTGTCCTGCTTTTTCTTTTTTCGCTCCGAGTGTTATTTCAACCTGTGGTTGTTGTGCTAATGGAGGTTAATAGGCATTTATAGTTCGTCACACATATGGTGCGAGCAACGCACATGCCGATTAGTGGATGTATCTTATTTTACTAAATGCAGACTATACTTTCTAGTGTACTCTTTCAATATACACTTCACATTGTGCTTATCGACAGTGTCGATGAAAGTCGATTCCAAATGCATCCACGAATCGTAGATATATTTTTCTCTTTTCATTTATGCTGTAAAGCACTGGCACCAAAAAAAAAAAAAAAGTCTCCTCTGAGATGCTCATCTGGTCCTACAGTAGGACTGATGAAAATTGTTTAGAGGTTGTCTCAGCTAAACACTGATGTTTGTGGTTGAATGACACAGTACATACTAAGTTGCACCTTTTAAAATTCACTGTCTAAAAAGTTTTGGCTTGGCATGAGTGGCAAGCTAAAGTGCAAGGCCCATGCACTCATCATGGTAGCTGCTGAGATGTACACACTTTTCTGATGAACGCTTGCACACCCTTTGGTGCCACTTGTGTATTTAAAAAAGGTCTATTGGGCTAGTTGCCAACTGAAGCTGTGAACACAGGTCACTGAGTAGAAAATCTTGCTGCATTTCTATACAATGTTCTAAACTACTGCTTTTAGAGTAAGTTATCACTGCAAAGATATTGCATGGGTGTGGGTGTTTCAATGCATATATAAATTATATTGCATTGCCTTTAATGCCTTATGAATACCATCTAGATGTACACTATAACAGTAAAGGTATATTAACTTGGACTTTAATAATTGCAATTAGCTGGTGATGGCTAATGCTGCTATGTAAATTTCAACTGTAAGATCTTAATTTTTAGTTTTTCAAGCTATATTAATATAATTTAGTCGTCAACTTATTGAACTTCTAACTACACTTCTATTATTGAAATTAGACTTTGTGGTAACAAACAGTCGATTCTTTTCAAACAGGGCCTCAATGTGCTTGGGAGATATGTTATATTTAACAGGAATTTTGTTTGCAGAGACAGATGTACTATAGGAGTACAGCATTAAAGTACAAAGCCAGCCAAATTGGAAGCGGTCTGTCTGAATGTTCTTTCTGTTTAAACAGTTACAAAGATTTCACTGTGATTGAAAAGTATCAGATTCTGTTTACTCTGTGTTGTGGTAAACATAGCTGCATAGCAGAAACATTGTAGATAAATGCCATTTTAAGATTCTGAAAGCTTGCAATGCCTACGGAAATAGCACTGAATATACTTTGTAAGCTCTGCAAGTACACAATGTTTTTGAACACAAGATTATTATGATCCTTGCTGAAACAAATGGCTCTCCACGTTCAGTAAGCCTATGGGCTGTAGCTTTTTTTTTCGACATTTTTAAGCTACATATTTGAGCCAGCTATGGGTGAAATTTTCTTATTCAGTTGATCATGCATTTTCAGAGTTGCCCTTCATTTTACTAAATATGAGTGCACATTTGGTTTTGTTTAAACAAGGCATGCTTTGCATCATGCTAAAAAAAATTGGACTGACAATGTTTTGATTAGCTTCATTTCATCGTACAACTTCCATTACTACCTGTTTTCTTAAAGTGGCTGCGATGCCTTAACATTGGCTGGTTGTTTCCTCCAACTTTCAGGACTTCATCAGGGCCAAAGAAGATAAATTTTTATTCAACTATCATGAAATGACCTGGGCACACCAAGAGCCTGCATTATTTTTGTTTATTTGCTCCTTGTGAAATTACCCGGCGCCCTCCAGTGCCTGCATTGACTGTGTATAAGGACCGATGCTATGAATTCGTGGCTTTGTTTCAATAAAACATGGCATCAACAATTTTCCCCACCTAATCAAGCTAGTGTAAGAACTAGATCGTGCCTTTTTTCACATTTGCTATCTTCAGTGTTATAGTACTCAGCAATGCTCAATTTAATGGTTTATCAATTGTTGTAAAAAAGGCTGTAAGTGAATTGTCAAGCCATTATTAGCATAATGAGCATGTTGCTGAAGCAAAAACACCACTACCACTATTAAATTTTAAATTTTATGGCTTTGTCTGTAGAGTTCAATAACCCAGCACCTGTGTTGATTGTATTGCATGGCTTATGTTTGTCTCCCAATTTCGAAGTCTAGCACTGGCAGGACAGTTCATGTGCAACTGCTTTATATTGATGGCAAGGGTAATTTATGTCAATCCGTGCACTATGTTTATGCAAGAGTTTAGCTGTGCACCAATGTAGCCTCTGTTAGAGTGGTAGCAAGCTTATTCGTCTTGATTTTTATGCAAATGTTTAGGTCACCAGGGCCTTTGTTTGGAAGAATTCATTTCTTTTCATTCTCTTTATCACATGTAACTGTACATGTTCATAATGTTAGACAAAAAAAAAAAGAATCATCTTAAAACATAATCTCCAGTCTTTAAATATAAGTGCAAGAAACTAGCTGCTTGTGTCCAATGAAAATTTCATTTCCATCATAGTGGAATTTTTGCTCAGTTTATTAGCTTCCTCACCTTCTTTTTCTTCTTTTTTCTTGCTCTCTCTCTTTTTTTAAAGGTATACTCTCACGCTCCATGATTATTCTATCTATAATCAAACAGCATAAAAAAAAGTTCAGATTCTTGTACTTGTTTTCTAATAAAATGTCAACTAATAAATTGGGGCATTGTTAAGTTCTGCAAATAGTAAGAAGTACAAAATTTTTTTTATTAACTTGTCTTCATTTGGTGCCATTTGAGTTATATGTACAATTTTTTTCTTCCACTTGAAATATTTTGGGGCAGTCTTACTAACATTGCAGTTTCTTTTGGAGAGACGGAAGATAGTCAAGTGTACTGGTCAGTACTCGGTTGTTAAATTACGCAGCTCTGATATTCATTTTATAAGTGCTTCAAGGCTTACATTTGATACAACAAGGATGTCTAGGTTTCACTGTTTGGTTGTTTGGTTGCACAATTTCATACAGAACAGGGCCATTAACTACGATGTTGTTTCCCAGTAGCACAAAATCTGGTGTGCAAGGTGCCAGTCATCGTCCTCACTCAAAGGCACTGCTGCTGGAGAAAGGCAGGAATGTACTTAAGGATTGTAGTGCCCAGTGGCATACCAACTCTTTTGCGAGTAGGGGGGGGGGGGGGGGGGGGCAAACCTACCCCACTTGTCAGCCGGAATTTATATATATATGATATGACGCTACAATGACTAGGAGACGTGGCCTGGCTCATTCGTCATGTGTTTATTCTATTGCGATTCTTCCTTCTCTACTTCTACCATCAGTTACTGCCTTCCTACATCACAGAATTCCCCCTCCCCAGAAAGAGTGCACGAGCTACAAGCTATAAAGCATGAACAAATGGAATCTCATGATAAGAAATAAATGACAGAAAATGCAGTAGTTCCATGTCACATGAGAGTTGCATAAACTTGCACCAACATTTCACAGGAGAGGGCGGCAGCCCGGTGATATCTAGTGGAACTCCGGTGAGCGAGGCTGGCTTTTGTGTCCTGGCCAACAGAACCACAGCTTGAATGCAGAAATTGGTGATGACACAGCAGTTCTTGCGAGGAATGAACTAAGGTGGAACGCCTTGGTACACTCATAGTTGGAGCTTTGTAGACGTTGTGTTCTTTGTCGTGAATGGTATGCATCGGGCACTACCAATTTGCATATTCATTGGCTGACGTGGCGATGCCTGTGTCTTTCCGAAAAATGGGGTGTGGTTTTATGCCATCTGTGTCATCTTGTCTCCTGTTCCAATTGCATTGATTGTAGGCTCTGTTTTGAGCTCTGCTGAAGAAAACTTACTCTATGTCCCTTGCGAAAATATCCTGGTTTTAATACTTGCCTTGTCGCGAGCAAGACATCTTTAATATGTCGTTGCTTGACTTTACTCTCTTGCAAATGTCTTTCCTTGAGCTGCGAGCGATCTTTCGATGACTGTGGTTGTCCTTGTAGAATAACATGTCACTTAACCTGGTCAATTTGCTTGGTCTTACCTTGCCGGTGTAGGGAAAAATTCTGAAGTGGCAGCCCTACTGGAAGAGGAAAATATTATTTTAGAAAATGGACGTAGTGCTCAGTTGGTAGCCGTTCCAATGCTTTTCGGGCAGTGAAGTTAGTAAGACAGACTTTACTGCAGGAATATCCGTGGTGCCTGCGACACCGTTAATTACAGGGGCTTCTGGTACCCAGCACCCTGTAAGTGGTGGTGCTTCCGAGCCTCCTGTGTTTGGATTTTCACGTGCCTGCGCACTGAACGGTGACACCGCAACAGGCAAGGTTTGGTCAAATTTCAGTTGGGAATTGGCTGTAGTTTTATGGAACTAACGATGTGAGCTGTTCTGGCGCATGAATCTGGACAGTAGGTTCAGGGTTTGGCTGAGTATCTTCCAATTTCGGCAGCTCTATCTCGACCGTAGTGGGCGTGTGAGATGTGAGGTGGGCGTTGTGAGCGACGGAAGAGCCAAACAATAGAAAACCAGGAGGTGGGCCAAGAGTGCGAGACTTGGAGTAAGCTGTTCCAATGCGTGAAGACTGAGTTTGACAGTTCGAGTCGACATGGCGTAGTTCGGTATTTTCTTTCGTCTACTCTGAACAAGGCTTCCTTATGACATGAATGGTGAGAGTTAGCAGCACTTGAAGAGCTGCTGCATGGTCAGTCTTCAAGCCGGACTATAAATGCGAGACAAAGCATGAAGGGCATCAGTAGTGTGAGCAACATCTCCTGTAAATGTTGGAGCTACGACAGTGAAGGTGCCGACTTCCGTGCAGAAGAGAAACCTCATAGAAAGCTGTGGCTTTTAACAAAAGAGCGTGAACTGCGGCGGCTGAGTTGCATTGTCTCCAGATTGTTGGTAATAAGGAAGTACTTGTTGTGGTCATTAAAACAAGCAATCATCTTTTGATCTTTAACCATGATTCATCATTTTCAAATATGTGCATGGGGTAGAACTTGAAAGCCTCGCTGAAGATGTAGTCAGTGAAGTTGGTGATCATCTCTCATTCTGACTAAGGTGCAGCGGTAGCGTGGAGCTCAAACAGGTCGAACCAGTCTTGTACGGGTCCATCGTCTGCTGCTCCAGTGTATTTGAAGATGGAAAGGTCAGTCGATGGTTCCGTCATGATGCTTGTCATTGTGTGCTGCTAGGATATGCTTTGGTAGACCGAGTGTCTTCAGGGCGTCTAGTTGAAAACGTCGTCCATAAAGTGACAGGCAGGTCTTCATCCTGTCAGCTTATATGATGCTATGATGACTGGGGGACGTGGCCTGGCTTATATGCTATGTGTTTATTGACAAGATAGCGTTAAAGAGCTCATTTCGCAGAAATTCTGGCGTTAGCGTTGTTGGTTGTGAATGAAAAATGATCATCTTATGCGTGACAGAAAAATCGAGAAGGATGCAAATAAAATAAATTAATTTTAAAAACTCCTGGAGCAGAGTGGGGACCGAACCAGGGTTGTTTGGGTCCAAGTGGCTATCAAACCCTGGTCGTGTGCATGGCAGGCAGATGTTCTACCACATGACCATGCCTCTGCTTGCGAAAACAGTGAAAAGAACTTGCTCTGTTTAGAAATGCAGTGAAAGTAGCCCTCATGCTTCACATATATGTGCGTCCTGTACACATGCTTCACAATGCAACCCGAAAGATTTCAGTAATAATGCATGAATGCATGGTACAAGCATCCATTGCCAACGGGGTCAGAATATGTGATTATGATAGCGGTTCTGTGATTGAAAGCTGGTACCCCACTACAAAAGGCACATACACTACTGCGCCTATTTCTTTAGGCCACGTAGTGGGTGCATAGCAAATTCGAAAAGGTTTCGTGCACTAAGCATTTGAAGTACGCACTAAGAACAGGATGTCGGTATCACGTTCAACTCCTAAAGGCGAAGCTTTAGGGTTCCCTAATTACTTCTTCCTTCTCCACTTCTACCATCAGTAACTGCCTTCCCTCTCTCTCTCTCTCTCCCTATATATATATATATATAAATATATATATATATATATATCTTTAACAAAGCGAACGCACTTTCACGTGATTTTTTATACATACACACAGCACTTGTTCAATGGTGTACAAAAGAGAGTCAGTCTTTAGCAGCATGCTCTGAGACAACACATATACACGTAATGCATGTAACACGCAATGCTTTTTATGCATTACCTCGCAAATTTTTGTATAAATACAAATATATTTATGGCGGCCTCCCCAACAGTACATATTTGTATCATTTATAGATATTTAATGATGACTAATAATAGCACACAAAGATGTGTTTCTAAACGCGAAAGAATCCTTATAAAACCAAAAATATTTTGAGCATTTCTATCTCCTCCTCTACCGGCCAGCATCGTCTTGGTGCTATCGTAGCTGACTCATCACTTCAGTATAGACCAAAATCGGTCATAGGGGGCACGAGGGTATGAGAATATGCATATGATCCTGATATAACATGAAAATTATATGTGCGCCATGAAACTGGTTCTAGTAGTCATGTGTCTCAGATACCCGTATACCACAGGCTGCGGTATGTGGGTACGCGCCTTGAAGTTTGTATCTATACCTATAGAAACGGCGACAACAGACATCAGTAATTTAAATGCGAGAACCTTTAAAAAATGTGGCATCGGCTGTGTCGAGCCGACGACTGTAAAGAATAAAAATAAGGATCCCAGAAACAATAGAAATCAAGTATTTCGTGCAGCAGTCAGGTATTCTACCACAGAAACATGCAAAGTATAATCTGCTTTGGAAAAGATACTGTGAAGACATCAAGTCAGTGCAAAGTGGTTATAATGACGATTCTAGCTATCTGACTTCATAACAAGGAGATAAACATTGC